GGGGCCCATGAGATATTGGGGGCAATAATACTGTAAAGATCAAAGCAGTTTAGGCAGATTTGGGTTGCTAGACTGTGCAATTTGTATTTTACTTGGTAGGAAAAGGAGTACTAGAGACTAGGGCAGGAGGGTAAAGTGACTGGATCTTTCTTTTAAGAAGACAGATTGATACCATTGTCAAGGTGTCTGGTTGGAAACCTTAGGAGAGAGAAATCAGGTAAACTGTTTTGTTTCTGAGGTTAGTTGTAAATGAAGTTTTAACAACCTGGTTTTGAAAGATGAGACAATTTAAATGAATGGAGAGGCACAAGCCATGTGCTTGCATTTTAAGACTGCAAAGCAAAAAACTAGCACCATTTTTATGATATTAATTTAGACAAAATGCAGTCCAGTGGAAATCCAGTAACCAATTTTTTTCCTCAGCAGAACTATAATTCATTTTCTGAGGAAGCAAAGAAAAGTGAGATAACGTGACCAGCTAAAAATTAAGCTATGAGTTATAAAGACAGACATCCTTCTCATTTCCTCACCTCTCCCTTTTGTAGCTCATTGGCTTGTGTTATTACATCAGGTTTTACTAGGATACTTGGAACCTTTAACTCCCTAGCTTCTTTCATGCCCTTCTACTTACCTCTCCAGCTTTTTCTACTTGGGTTACTGTGTGAATTCTTTCTTGCCACTGCCTTAAATTGTAATCTCACTGGGACTGTGTCTTTAGCTCATGATTTTCTTTACACTGCAGATGCTCACTGCATGATCTCAAGTGTTTTTTAGTTAACATTTTGCTGATGGCTTCCAAATTGGTGTTGATCTTCAACTTTCAGAGTTGAATATTCTGTAGGTGGCTTCACATGTCATTCATTCCGTCTTCTCGGTTTATTCTTAAATATGACTCAACTCCAGCCTTTATCCCCATTTGTACTACCTTTGTCCTCATTCAAGGCCTCATTATCTGTCACCTAAATGTACTGAAGCTGTAGTTCTCTGCGTCATTTCTTGATCTCTTCAAATATGCTTTTTTATAAGGTCAGCAGGATGCTTTAGCAAAAATACTGATCTGACTTAGTGACTGCTCTTTTTAAAAGCAGAAATTATCAGATCTCTGATAAGAATCCCCAGGAGTAGGATACCTTGGAGTCTATTTGTGTATACAAGTTCATTCCATACCTGCAGATTCTGATTTTAATCAGATCGAGAAACTTGCAGTCTACCAGAATTAAGTTTGAGCCCCTCTGCCTGGTGCATAAAGTCCTCCAGTAAACCTGGTTTTGGTTTACCAGTTGGTCACATTTCCCACTATGGCCTGATCTGCAGCAGTATTGAAGAACGTACTCTCTTACTGTCCTGTCCCCCTACCTGCTGTATTCTTTGCATAGAATAAGTGCTGTTCTCTTTCAGTCTACATGAGATACCTTCACTTTTTTGGGGGGCAGCTGTTATTGCACTTTGCAACATTTGCCAAAACATTTCTGACTCCCCAGCCTGTTTTATACGAATACTATCTTGTGGACACCTTGAAAATTTATAAAATATTATTTCATTGTATGGGAAAACAAATCAGTTTTAATAAAAATAATGTACCCCAGTATTAACATTAAAGATTGCACTAGAGAGTTCAAAATTAGTATAATTTTATGTTTAAAGAAATTTTAGGTCAAGTGCAGTGGCCCAAGCCTGTAATCCCAGCAATTTGGGAGGCCAAGGCAACTGGATCACTTGAGGTCAGGAAGTTCAAGACCAGCCTGGCCAATATGGCAAAACCACATCTGTACTAAAAATACAAAAATTGACAACACGTGTTGGCACATGCCTGTAATCCCAGCTACTTAGGAGGCTAAGGCAAGAAAGTCACTTGAACTTGGGAGTTGCTGTGAGCTGAGATAGCACCAATGCACTCCAGCCTGGGTAATTGAGTGAGACTCCTATCTCAAGAAAAAAAAGAAAATTTAATTTTTTCTTCTAAGTAATCAAGGAATCAGCTAGTGTCTTTCTAAGTGACATTTTGTTTTGAAGACAAATGTATATTAAAACGTGATTTGAAAACATGTTACTGTGTCCAAATTAGACAAAACTTTTTTCCCCATTGTTTTGGGTTCTTACATCTTGTGTTTAAATAGTTAAGTTTTAGTAGCTTTTAGTAGCCCAGTGTTTCAAGTTCTGATATCCTGGGTTAAGTAGTTAGATTTTATAATATCCATGTTTGTAACAAGGAGATGCTATTTGAAAGTAGTCTGTAATTCCTAGTAAGAAACCAAATTATATTGTCATTGTATTTTTGTTTCTTTAACATTGGCTTTAGAGAATTTTGATTAGACAAATACAGTTTTGGATCTTTTGAAGAACAAGATGGGGAATTTGAAAAGTATGCAAAGATTTCAAAATCTAAATTCTGTGTTATAAGCCACTGTTAAAAGTTAAGACTAAGAATTTAAAACCTAAAGTAGTCAAAACTATCACCATTGCCTTTTCTAGTAATACTCATTGTAGTTGAATTGTGAGTGCATTTATCTGCTCTGCACTAATGGAAACCATCTTTTGTTATATTGTTTTTTATTTTTAGAAAAAATTATTATTGCCTCTAACAGCTTAAACTTACAGCATTTTTCAAACACCAGAGGTTGATGATTGTTTCTTGTGAATTACATGGATCAAGATTTGAATTCTGGTTTTGCCAGTTACTAGATGTGTGACCTTAGATAAATCATTCAAGTTTGCTTTACTGTAAAATGTCGACAGTATTATAGCACTTCCTCATGGAGTTATTATGAGTATTAAGTAATGCTTTCAGTAATCACTTAATAAAAAGTAACTACATTATTATGATCACATTTTAAAATAATCATCTGTTCATCTGTCTGCTTTTTCACTGAATTATAAATTTCTTGGGTCCATTACCTTTTTTTTTTTTTTTTTCCAGAGATAGTCTTTCTCTGTTGCCCAGGCTTGCGTGCAGTGGTGAGATCTTAGCTCACTGCAGCCTCTGGCCTGGGTTCAAATGATTCTTGTGCCTCAGCCTCAGCCTCAGCCTCCTGGGTTCAAATGATTATTGTGCCTCAGCCTCAGCCTCCTGGGTCCAAATGATTCTTGTGCCTCAGCTTCCCGAGAAGCTGGGAGTACAGGCATGTGCCTTTATGCCCAGCTTTTGTATTTTCAGTAGAAAACATGTTTTGCCATGTTGACCAGGCTGGCTTGAAGCAGTCCACTCACGTCCACCTCCCAAAGCCCTGGGATTGCAGGTGCGAATCACCATGCCTGGCCTTGGGTCAATTTCTTTTAAAGTTTACACCTCTAATACTTGCCCAGAGTCTGATTTATAGTTGTGAATCATTGTTTAATTGAATTAAACATAAATATCTAGCCAAAAGGATAATGAAATATAGTCAGCAGAGGAATACAAAAAGAAAACTAAAATGGGAAAGGGGAAATGAAAAAGCTTCTTGGGGTCCTGCTCCTCTGTGGTTGGTCTCTTGCTGTGTCATACAGGCCAGGTGGGCCCAGAACAGAGAGAACATTACTCAGTGTTTCTGTAATGGACTGAATATTGAAAAATCTGACTTTTGTGATAAATTAAATTGTTCTGTTGGGCTATTGTTCGTGCCACACTTTCTGTTGTGCTAAAGATAGTAGTCAGTGCCCACAGTGGTGTGTAATGTAAGGTTACATTATATGGGGGTCATATTTTTGGTATTTACTGCAATCCAGAGTGTATTTTTTTAGATACTATGTTTTACTTTTGTTAAAATTTTGAAGTCCCAAGCATAACAGCACACTTGATTCCCTTACTGTATAACACTTAAAAGTTTGTTGTAGATACCCTGAGCCCACTGTTGGAAATCATATATTCACTTTATTGGTAAGTAAGGATTCTTTTTTTTTTTTTTAATACATAAACATGAAACAGTCTGCCTTAAGTCATTTAAGAAGATACTTAAGCCCTACATCTTACTTATTTGCCAGCAGTAGACCCAGACTCATTACTTCTATGAACTCATGTATATGTTTTGTGTGTGTGTGTGTGTGTATTTTTAAATGCATATGTGTGTAGTATTAGGTTTAAACAGATTAATATTAGAATTTACAACTATTTTTATGTTTATTTATTTTTTGAGAGTTTCACTCTGTCATCCAGACTGGAGTACAGTGGTGCAATCTTGACTCACTGCAACCTCTGCCTTTCAAGTTCAAGCGATTCTCCTGCCTCAGCTTCCTGAGTAGCTGGGATTACAGGCGCCTGCCACCATGCCCAACTCATTTTTTTTTGTATTTTTAGTAGAGACAGGGGTTTCACTATGTTGACCAGGCTGGTCTCAAACTCCAGACCTCAGGTGATCTGCCTGCCTCTGACTCCCAAAGTGCTGGGATTACAGACATGTGCCACCACGGCCAGCCAGAATTTATGTTTCTGGCAACCATATTTTGATTTTTAAAAAGTTTATGATTCTCATAGAAACAGATAAGACAATTGTATTCAGAAGTACTGAATGTTAGGTAATGCTCATAAAATATATTAGGACTAGTGTGTACTGAATTTACTAGTAGGGCATTATTTCTCAGATCTTCAGGAACATTGGTAAACTGGGTTCTGTGGCTCAAGCTTGTAATCCCAGCATTTTGTGAGGCTGAGGTGGGAGAATTGCTTGAGCCTAAGAATTGGAAATAAGCCAGAGAAAAATAGTGAGACCTTGTCTGTACAAAAAAATAAAAAAATTAGCTGAGCATGGTGGCATACGCCTGTTGTTGCAGCTACTGAAGTAGGCTGAGGCGGAAGGATTGCTTGAATTCTGGAGTCAAAGGTGCAGTGAACTGTAATTGTGCCACTGTACTCTAGCCTGAGTGACAGAACAAGAAAAGACCCCATCTCAAAAAATAAAGCAGAATACTTGTAATATTGTATGCTTTTACTTTATGACAAGCAAAGATGATGTATGTCCTTTTATTAGTTTTCTTAAGTTTTAAAGCATCTGCTGTTATTGTTGATGATATGTTTTCTGCCTTTTCAGTGGATGATGCTGGCAAAATAGAACATGATGGTTCCACTGGAGTGACCATCGATGCAGAATCAGAAATGGATCCTTGTAAAGTGGATGGCACTTGTCCTGAAGTCATCAAGGTATACATTTTTAAAGCTGACCCTGGAGAAGATGACTTAGGTAAGAGGAAGCCGTCAGCATTTTATACATCATCATCCAAATGTTTCAACCAAATGGTGTCAAAAAAATAAACAGGTTCCTTTTTTTCATTGATATTTAGCATTTAGTTTAGATTATTTAGGTTGGAAAATTTGAACTCTTTTCCAAAGACAACTTTCAAGACATATTTTTGATTTAGTAATATAAAAATATATGAAAACATGTAAGCAAAATATGTGAAAATGAACACTCTAATAATTTTTGGAGCTTTCATCTTCTCTGATAGGTGGAACTGTAGACATTGTGGAGAGTGAGCCTGAAAATGATCATGGAGTTGAACTACTTGATCAGAACAGCAGTATTCGTGTTCCCAGGGAAAAGATGGTTTATATGACTGTCAATGACTCTCAACAAGAAGATGAAGATTTAAGTATGTGGTTTTTTTAAAAAAAAATTTTACTTTAAGTTCTGGGATACATGTGCTGAATGTGCAGGTTTGTTACATAGGTATGCATGTGCCATGGTGGTTTGCTGCACCTATCAACCCATCATCTAGGTTTTTAAGCCCACCATCCATTAGGTATTTGTCTTAATGCTCTCCCTTCCCTTGCACCCCACCCCACAACAGGCCCCAGTGTGTGATGTTCCCCTCCCTGTGTCCATGTGTCCTCATTGTTCAACTCCCACTTATGAGTGAAAACATGTGGTGTTTGGTTTTCTACTCCTGTGTTAATTTGCTGAGGATGGTGGTTTCCAGCTTCATCCATGTCCCTGCAAAGGACATGATCTCATTATTTTTTATGACTGCATAGTATTCCGTGATGTATATGTGCCAGTATGTGGCTTTTTTTGTGGGAGAGGGTTTTATCTTTCTATAAGCTGTGTTTTTTGTTTTTTGTTTTTTTGAGACAGAGTCTTACTTTGTCGCCAGGCTGGAATGCAGTGGTGAAATCTCAGCTCACTGCAACTTCCACCTCCCATGTTCCCGCCTCAGCCTCTCAAGTAGCTGAGACTACAGGCATGCACCACCACACTCAGCTAATTTTTGTATTTTTAGTAGAGATGAGGGTTTCACCATGTTGGCCAGGATGGTCTGGATCTCTTGACCTCATGATCCGCCCACCTTGGTCTCCCAAAGTGCTGGGATTACAGGCGTGAGCCACTGTGCCCTGCCCAAGTTGGGTTTTGTTTTTGTTTTTTTTTTAATGCAACCAATATTTGAAAAAAATAAGCAACACTGTTGTAGAGATTACTATATTGCCATATTCCAAGGAAACATATCAGTGACTATGTATGTTTTCATTGTTGCTTTATAAACTTAATTATGGTGAAAGCCAAGAAACGAATGATTAATTCAACCAGTTTATTTTTTCCTACTAATGTATTTTTTCTGTGTGATCTCTGTAAACCTAGTCACAAAAATTTTTTTATTTATTTTGTGCTTAGATGTTGCTGAAATTGCTGATGAAGTTTATATGGAAGTGATCGTAGGAGAGGAGGATGCTGCTGTTGCAGCAGCAGCAGCTGCTGTGCATGAGCAGCAAATTGATGAGGATGAAATGAAAACCTTCGTGCCAATTGCATGGGCAGCAGCTTATGGTAACTTACATAGTAGCTAGAAGGATTGAGTGGTTTTTGAACATTAATTCGCCGTTGAAAGTGATTTCTGTGGTCTTAGGGTTTCATGACTTAAGCAAAAGTAGAGGAAGATTACATAGTCTCCCTGTTGCCTTTAATTTTAACATGAACTTTCATGCCTTTATTACGTAAGTGTGGGAGCTTTTAGTCTAACATTTTAAATCTTGGTTTATAGGTAACTCATAACTTTACAATTTTGGGAGGTAATAAGGGAGTCCAGTAGAGCAACATGCTGCTAGATATGGAAGCTAGGCACTGCCCATGGTCTTGCCATAAATATGCCCATAAAACACATTATCTGCAGTTGGGGGCCAGGGGTAGTGGCTCACGCCTGTAATCCCAGCACTTTGGTAGTCTGAGGTAGGTGGATGACCTGAGGTCAGGAGTTCAAGATCAACCTGGCCAATATGGTGAAACCTCCTCTCTACTAAAAATACAAAAAAATGAGATGGGTATGATGGTGTGTTCCTGTAATCCCAGCTATTCAAGATGCTGAGGCAGGATAATTGCTTGAACCTGAGAGGAGGAGGTTGGAGTGAGCCAAGATTATACCTCTGCACTCTAGCCTGGGTGACAGAGCAAGACTCTGTCTCAAAGATACATTAAAAAAAAAAAAAGAATAAAAATAAAAAATAAGGACTTTCTGTCATTCGTGAATGTCAGGACTTCTTGTTGTTAATAAAGAATTCCTGATTCTTTAGAATTTATAATGTTGTGTAATTTTGTGTTTTAATGCACGTCGTTAGGTAATAATTCTGATGGAATTGAAAACCGGAATGGCACTGCAAGTGCTCTCTTGCACGTAGATGAGTCTACTGGCCTTGGCAGACTGGCTAAACAAAAACCAAAGAAAAAGAGAAGACCTGATTCCAGGCAGTACCAAACAGGTGAGTTCCACAGGAGTATTATGATGGAGTTTTAGCTGCTAGGCCCCGTGTATTTTTGTGTATTGAATTTGAAAGAAAACATTTCAAAATTCAGTGATATTCATGAATGATTTTCTTGGATAAAAAGAAACAGTTGTGCCTCAAACATTCAGGAAAAAGAATTAAAATCCTCTGGTGATTTAGTGAAAAGGAAAATAAATTTCTAAAATGTTACCTAACTTTAAGTGAACAAAATTACATGGATCTACGTATACCACCATAAAGCAGGTATTATTTACAGAGAAGTGGAAGAAGTACTTAGGTTATTTACAGGACAGATTACTATCCTGTGTTGTTTTGAATACTTCTTTGCATATTAAAATTTATTTATAGGTGCAGTTAAGCTTTACTGTTAGCATATATTTGGCTTGGAGTCAGTCACCAAAGAAGAAATGCTGGCCTTGATTTCTATGGGTTATTTGCTATACATTTCTAAATTCATGTTATTTTATCACTGCTTGATTGATTTATTTTTTTAAGCTGGAGGGGGTGAGATTGATTCATACTGAACCAAACCACTTCTCTTGATTAGGACATTACTATAACTCTTAACATTGAAAAGCAGTAAAAGGAATGTTAATAAAAGTATTTGCCCGGTAATGTTCAGAACACAAGCTTTAAATTCATGAGGAAACCAGAAGTTTGATTAAGCACTCATACTGCTTTCTTTTCCCTTCTTAGCAATAATTATTGGCCCTGATGGTCATCCTTTGACTGTCTATCCTTGCATGATTTGTGGGAAGAAGTTTAAGTCGAGAGGTTTTTTGAAAAGACACATGAAAAACCATCCCGAACACCTTGCCAAGAAGAAGTACCACTGTACTGACTGTGATTACACTACCAACAAGAAGATAAGTTTACATAACCACCTGGAGAGCCACAAGCTGACCAGCAAGGCAGAGAAGGCCATTCAATGTGATGAGTGTGGGAAGCATTTTTCTCATGCGGGGGCTTTGTTTACTCACAAAATGGTGCACAAGGAAAAAGGGGCCAACAAAATGCACAAGTGTAAATTCTGTGAATATGAGACAGCTGAACAGGGGTTATTGAATCGCCACCTCTTGGCAGTCCACAGCAAGAACTTTCCTCATATTTGTGTGGAGTGTGGTAAAGGTTTCCGACACCCATCGGAACTCAAAAAGCACATGCGAATCCATACAGGGGAGAAGCCATACCAATGCCAGTACTGCGAATATAGGTCTGCAGACTCTTCCAACTTGAAAACACATATAAAAACAAAGCATAGTAAAGAGATGCCATTCAAGTGTGATATTTGTCTTCTGACTTTCTCAGATACCAAAGAAGTGCAGCAGCATACTCTTGTCCACCAAGAAAACAAAACACACCAGTGTTTGCATTGTGACCACAAGAGTTCAAACTCAAGTGATTTGAAACGACACGTAATTTCAGTTCATACAAAAGACTATCCTCATAAGTGTGAGATGTGCGAGAAAGGCTTTCACAGGCCTTCAGAACTCAAGAAGCATGTGGCTGTCCACAAAGGTAAAAAAATGCACCAATGTAGACATTGTGACTTTAAGATTGCAGACCCATTTGTTCTAAGTCGCCATATTCTCTCAGTTCACACAAAGGATCTTCCATTTAGGTGTAAGAGATGTAGAAAGGGATTTAGGCAACAAAATGAGCTTAAAAAGCATATGAAGACACACAGTGGCAGGAAAGTATATCAGTGTGAGTACTGTGAGTATAGCACTACGGATGCCTCAGGCTTTAAACGGCACGTCATTTCCATTCATACAAAAGACTATCCTCATCGGTGTGAGTACTGCAAGAAAGGCTTCCGAAGACCTTCAGAGAAGAACCAGCACATAATGCGACATCATAAAGAAGTTGGCCTGCCCTAACATTGTGTCTACAAGCTTGTAAAGATGTTGGCCTTGAAGCAGAAAATTCGTTTTTTAAAGCCAGTCTTGTTCACATCCATTACTATACATTGAATTATGCTGTGTAAAAATAGAATTATCGCTTCTAGTCCACTTTTCTTTACATTTTATTCAATAGGGTGTCCTGAATCCTATTCAGTTTCTTTAATAGATGAGAAAAATAGCAACAAGCAAGTTGCTTATAATTTGTGATTCTATACTGAATTTTCAGTCTTAAAAGCTTTACTATTTATTTACATATTTATTCATGTTGATGGTACTCTTCTAAGACAAAATCAGATTGATAACTACAAAAGTAACATTTTTGACCCATTTCTTCCTACACAAACGTTTCACATTGGAGACATCTGCTAACATAAATGGGAGATTTTACTGTCAAGTCCAGTTAGCAAAACATAATAATTTTTTTGTCTTGCTTAATATTACATGATGATGAAATTTTACATTTGAGCTTCTAGCATTGATTAATATAGGATATTGACTACATTTATGTTTAAATTTCATTTTGTTCAGCAGACAAAATGTACTTCCTTTAATTTTCATTAATAGTGTTTACATCTTTTGTCAGCACAGCAAACTTTTAAAAAGTATTATTGAAAAGTTTTACTTATTTTTGTCTTTTGTTTTCTCTTTGTACTGCTTTGTCTTGCATTGTATTCCAACACCCGAGACTTACTGCATACTGACTTTTAGTCTTTTAGAGGTAAATTGTGGACTCAGGATTTTTTGAAACTTGGTGTGTAACTCTAAATCTTGTATATGCATCTTTGTTGCTTATTACATATTTACACACACAAGCACAAATTTTAAACTTATGAAAATTTACAGTAACCTGGAAGATCCAGGGATGCATGAGAGCATTTCATAACTTACTATTCAGAGTTACTAAATTTGAGGTGAAGAATTGAAAAGAAGGACATTAGGAAGAGTGAAAATCTTCTAATACTCTTTGATAGATAAAAATGGAAGGTAAGATGTTTCTAGATAGAATGTTTTCTTACAATTTCAGCTTCATATCATAAATTTTTCCTGGAAAGCTATTTCAGACATAGGTTTCTTAGTTTTTGAGAATCCTGTGAAGGAACTCTTGTCTCACTGCAAAGTAAAGAGGACTAAGGGAAAGTGGTGGTACCATGTAACAGAATGAGAGCTAATTCCAAATTAGCAACTTTATCCTGCTTTTTATTTTACACTGAGTAAAGTTTTAAAAAGACAACAGTTAAGTTGATTTTGATTAGAAGATAAACATACGTAATGAAAATCCGTGGCCTTATTTGGAACATATATCACTTTCCAAATTTTATTGTTTGAGAGTTAATAAGTTATTAAGCAGTTAATAACATGTATGGATATAATATAAAATGAATTCATATAATTAAAAAGAATTTGGTTAATAAGAATTTTGGAGAATGGAAAATGCATTTTTAGGTTCCTTAATTTGGCTGTTGGTACCTATGTATTTGGAATATTTTCGGGGATTAGAATTTTTTTTAAACCACATTACAGCTACCTTCTGGCTTTAGTATGGTGGTGCTTCATTCAACTTACGCTGTCAGGTTTTTATTTTCTCCTTCTGGGCCACCAATTCAAAAGTTACAGGATTAGGAAATATAAATATTTGGTGATTGACAGCCTCTGACATGTTAGATTAATTTGATCTAGTTCTGAAGTGGTTTAGTAATACATGAATTTAAACCTAGTACCAACCAAAACCATATAATGGATTTTGAAAATCTGTTAGGACTTCTTAGCCCTCATACATGTTTCTACCTGATTGTTACTGTCCTTCATTATCTTGTTCTTGATAACTTCAGTTTGTATTTGAGAATCCTTTAAATCTCCTTCCAATTTGTTTTCTCCCTGAAGTAATATAAAAGGAAGTATTTAAGTGAAAGTTTAAGAGTTTTAAAGCACTCCTTAAAATTAATAGTTAGCTATTTATATTTTAAAAATAAACAGAAAGGTAAAGAACAACACTTTACATACTTCATGTTTTTCATATAGTCTGGAGTTATACACAGTTGTTTTGTTTTTAACCACAGTATTGAAACCTTTAAAAGGTAATTAAGCATTTGGTCAAGTAAATATGATAGAACGTTTGTATAAAGACAGAAACGAAATTGTGCTTAATGTTATATACTGTTATTATTTGCAGGCTGGTTTTAATTCTTAATTTGATTAGCAAAGCTAAAAAAGTGGATGTTGAAGTTGAAAGTTTTAAAGAGGTACAAAATCTTACAATGACATAAATTATTGTTTGGTTGAAAAATAGTGTATTAAATATTGTATGTCCCTTCCACTGTACAAATTGTAAAATACTTAAAATACTATGGAGAATTCATGTAGGAAGTGTGATACTGTTGTAAATGTGTACTTGAGAATAATATGCAAAAATAAAAATAATATTTTGCTGTTAATAAATGTTTACTTGTATATGATACCAATACTAAGTTAACTCTTTTTCTTTAAAACATGCAGTTTTAAGTCTTAATAAACATAAAACATAGTGGACTATTTTTATTTCCCCACTTAGTTGATTCTGTACATAAGTGGAACACAAAATGCTTTTTATGTAAATATTGGTAACCTTATGAATTTACAAGTAGTATTTCAGAGTACTTGTGCTAATTGAAGAGTCCTTTGCTCAATGTGTTTTTGAAAATCAATTTTTTGTTTTATCTTAATGAAAGATTGTTTGGTTAGCATCTCCACTTGCTGAAATAAATTTTCCTTGCATAGAGCTTTTTTTTTCTTTTTTTTCTTTTGGTTTTTTGTTTTTGTTTCAACAACAAAGCCTCACTCATTTGCCCAGGCTCAAGTGCAGTGGTTTGTGATCTCAACTCACTGCAACCTTGAACTCTCGGGCTCAAGCAGTCCTCCCACCTCAGCCTACATAGTAGCTGGGACTATAGGCATCTACTGTCGTGCCTGGCTAATTTTTTATTTTTTATAGAGATGGGGTTGGGTCTCATTATGTTGCCCACGGTGGTCTCAAACCCCTGGGCTCAAGGAGTCCTCCTGCCTCAGCCTCCCAAAATGGTGCAGTTATAGGCATAGGCCAGTGCACTAGGCCTTAAGTGATTTTTGAGGGCAGTAAGTCCATAGCAGAAGAACCTGCCCTAGTTACACATTTGTGTGTTACTCCTTTGTATTCAGTTTGGAGATCTTTAGTGTACACATATACTGTGGGATGGGTATTACAACAAAAATTAGAAGCTTGGTAGAAGTTAACGAGGAGTCAAACATTACAGCAAAGAAGACCGAGACTCGTAAATTTTTGTGGAGGTAAAATTCACATGATAAAAGTCACTATCTTAAAATGTGTAAGTGGCATTTAACACATTCATATGTTTCCATCACCTCTCTTCAGTTGCAAAACACCTTTGATAAAGATTCTGCAGTTCTTCAACTCTAGGAACATGTGTTTGTTTAGTGGTTCAAACAGTAAATAATTAAAGCCACTAAAATGTTTAAAAAATATATATGGTGAATGTCACTGGCCAGAGTCGTAAGCCAGGTAAGATCATGAATAACTTAGTTGTCTTAGAAAACCTAAAAATATACCCAATCAGGCCTGTGATTTCACCTAAGATAATTTACTGACTGGTTTTCTGGCAATGTCAATGTCAATTTTATTATTTTTTATTTTTATTATTTTTTAACTCCTCAGGAATTCTAGGATTTTTGTAAAGAAAAGCATTATGACCAATATCTTAAAGGTACGATATTTTGAAGCTGGGCCAGGTCAGCATCAGCATTACTTGAATCTTTTTAGATACATAAAATCTTGGGCTCACCCTAGACCTACTACATAAAAAAAATTGTACATAGGCACCAGCAGTCAGATTGGCTTTACTGTGAAAAGAAAAAAAAAAAATTCCCATTTTAATCATTTTATTTATTTATTTTGAGACAGTCTTGCTCTGTCGCCCAGGCTGGAGTGCAGTGGCCAGATCTCAGCTCACTGCAAGCACCACCTCCCAGGTTTATACCATTCTCCTGCCTCAGTCTCCCAAGTAGCTGGGACTACAGGCGCCCGCCACCGCGCCCGGCTAGTTTTTTGTAGTTTTTAGTAGAGAGGGGGTTTCACCATGTTAGCCAGGATGGTCTCGATCTCCTGACCTCGGGATCCGCCTGTCTTGGCCTCCCAAAGTGCTGGGATTACAGGCTTGAGCCACCGCGCCCGGCCCATTTTAATCATTTTAAGTGTATACAATTAATAGTACTAAGAATATTTACATGGTTGTGAATGTTTCTTAAGTTTCATATTTGAAACTCAATGTTCATTAAACAACTCTCTCCACTGCCGCCCAGGCCCTGGTAACCATTATTCTAGTTTGTTTCCATGAATTTGACTACTTTATTAGAATCATACAGTTTGTGTGTGTGTGTGTGTGTGTGTGTGTGTGTGTGTGTGTGTGTGACTGGCTTGTATCACTTAGCAGCCTTTCCTCAATTTTAGAGAAAAAGTTTTCAGCCTTTCACCATCAAATAAGGTGTTAGCTGTGGGCTTTTAAAAATAATTGCTGGCTGTGCATGGTGGCTCACACCTGTAATCCCAGCACTTTGGGAGTTTGGGTAGATCACCTGAGGTCAGGAGTTTGAAACCAGCCTGGCCAACATGGTGACACGCCGTCTGTACTAAAAATACAAAAATAACTGGGCGTGGTGGCAGATGGCTGTAACTCCAGCTACTCGGGAGGCTGAGGCAGGAGAATTGCTTGAACCCAGGTATCAGAGGTGGCAGTGAGCCGAGATCGTGCCACTTCCCTCCAGCCTGAGCAAAAGAGCGAGACTCCATCTCAAAAATAAATAAAATTGCCCTGGGTAGTCATGGTGGTTTATACCTATAATCCCGGCACTTTAAGAGGCTGAGGCAGGTAGATGACTTAAGGTCAGGAGTTTGAGACCAGCCTGGCCAACATAATGAAACTAGGTCTCTACTAAAAATACAGAAATGAGCTGGGCATCTGGCACATTTCTGTAATCCTAGCTACTCAAGAAGCTGAAGAATGAGAATCACTTGAACGTGGGAGGAGGTTGTTGCAGTAAGGTGAGATTGCACCACTGCACTCCAGCCTGGGTGACAGAGCAAGACTCCATCTCAAAATAAATAAATAAAAATAATTGCCCTCATTATGTTGAGGGTTCCCCCTTCTTGCCTAAGTGTATTTTATAACGAAAAGGTGTGGAATCTTGTCACATGCTTTTTAATGTAAATTGAAATGATCATGTAGCTTTTGTCCTTTGTTTTTGTTAATGTGATGTATTAAAAGGCATTGTTGAACCATTCTTAAAATCCAGTAAAATCTTACTGGTCATGGTATATAATCAGTTTTTTGTTTTTTTTTTGTTGTTGTTGTTTTGAGAGCGATTTTTTTCTGTGTTGCCCAGGCTGGAGTGCAATGGCGTGATCTTAGCTCACTGCAACCTCCGCCTCTTGGGTTGGAGAGATTCTCCTGCCTCACTCAGCCTGCCAAGTAGCTGGGCTTACAGACATCTGCTACCACTCCCAGCTAATTTTTGTATTTTTAATAGAGATAAGATTTCACCATGTTGTCCAGGCTGGTCTTGAGCTCTTGACTTCAGGTGATCCATCTGCTTTGACCTTCCAAAGTGCTAGGATTATAGGATTATAAGCCATGGCACCTGGCCTATGTAATTTTTTTTTTTTTTTTTGGAGACAGAGTCTTGCTGTCACCCAGGCTGGAGTGCAATGATGTGATCTTGGCTCACTGCAACCTCCGCCTCCCAAGGTCAAGTGATTCTCCTTACTCAGCCTCTCAAGTAGCTGGATTACAGGCACATGCCACTGCATCTTGGCCACCACACTTGGCTAATTTTTGTATTTTTAGTAGAGGCAGGGTTTCACCATGGTGGGCAGGCTGGTCTCGAACTCCTGACCTCAAATGATCCACCCACCTTGGCCTCCCAAAATGCTGGGATTACAAGCATGTAATCCCAGCCTATAATCCTTATAATGTGCTGTTAAATTCAACCTGTTTGTATTTTACTGATAATTTTTGCATAGATTTTCATTAGTGATATTGATCTGTGATTTTCTTTTTGTCTTTATGTGTTTTTTTTAAATTAATGTTTTTTGGATGCAGGGTCTTGCTGTGTTGCCCAGGCTGTAGTGCAGTTGTACGATCGCAGCTGACTGTAACCTTGAACCGCTGGGTTCAAACTGTCGTGCCATCTGAATAGCTAGGACTGCTAGTGCACACTACCATGCCTAACTAACTTTTTACAATTTTTTTGTAGAGACATGGTTTCCCTAAGTTGCCCAGACTTGTCACGAACTTCTGGACTCAAGCAATCCCTGTCTTAATCTCCCAAGATGCTGGGAATATAGGCATAAGCCACCATACCTAGCCTTGTGTATGTCTTTATCTGGTTTTGACAGCAATGTAATACTGGCATCTTTATATGAATTTCAGAGTGCTTCCTTCTTTAGGATTATTAATTTTTTTAGTTTAAAAAATTTTCATTTTTATCTTAGATTCAGATGTACTAGTACAGGTTTGCTATAAGGGTGTATGTGTAGTGTTGAGGTTTGGGCTTCTTTTGATCCCATCAGCCACATAGTTAAGATAATACCCAATAGGAAGTTTCTCAACGCTTGCCCCACTCCTTTACTCCCTTCTTTTGGAGACTTTAGTATGTGTTGTTTCCATCTTTATGTTCATATTAACCCAAGATTTAGTTCCCACTTACATGTGACAATTGGTTTTCTGTTTCTGCATTAGTTTCCTTATGATAATGGCCTCCAGCTGCAACCATGTTGCTACAAAGGACATTATTTCATTCTTTATTGTGCCTGCATAAAATTATTTTTAAACTTTGATAGACTTCTCCAGTGAAGCCATCTTACTGTGGGCTGTTCTTTGCTCAGATTTTTATTTCTGATTCAATCTTACTAGTTACTGGTTTGTTCAGATTTTCTACTTCTTCCTTATATACTCATGGTAGGTTGTGTGTTTCTAGCAATGTATTATTATTATTATTATTATTTTATTTTATTTTATTTTTTTAAAGACAGAATCTCACTCGGTCATCCAGGCTAGAGTACAGTGGCACTATCTCTGCTTACTGCAACCTCTGGCTCCCAGACTCAAGTGATTCTTCTGCCTCAGCCTCCCGAGTAACTGGGATTACAGGTGTGCGTCACCACACCTGGGTAATTTTTTATATTTTTAGTAGAGATGTGGTTTTACCATGTTGGCCAGGCTGGTCTCAAACCTACCTGAGGTGATCCACCCACTTTGGCCTCCCAGATCGCTGGGATTACAGGTGTGAGCAACTACACCCAGCCTATTCCTTCTGATTTATCCAACTCCTTGGTGTACATTTTATTCATTGTATTCTCTTTACTCCTTTTCATTTCTGTGGCATCACTTGTAATTACTGTTCTTTCATTTCTAAATTCAGTTGAGTCTTTTTCTT